CATAAATTCATTTCTAAAAAAATACAGGTAAACTCACGGACCATATATCTCATGATAAAAAATGACCAAAAAAAAATCCTGCTTTTCTTTATATATATTTTTTAATTTTGTTTAAATCGATTTTAGTTTTTGATTTTTTAAAAATCTTAAACAAAGTCGGATTCCAAAAAAAAAAAAATAGGAGTGTAGGGTTTTTTTAGCCCTACACGCCCATTTTTTTTTTTTTCATGCATTAGAAAAAAAAATAAAAATCTTGGACCGAAGTCGGCTGGTCGGCCTAGGCCGAACCCGGCGGATTCGGCCATCGGCCTAGGCCGCGGCCGACTTGGACCCCCCGGCCGCGGCCGGGCGTGCAACATAGATCTCAAGGTCTCCCCTCTTTTTCAAAGAGGAAAGTATTCTACCAATTCCACACCGAATATACACATTCACTTGGCATCACAATATCATACGCTGGTTCCTTACTTTGAAAGAGGCAAAGTTGAACAAACTGAAAAGAAGGAAAAAAAGGAGAGAATCTCAAGGCTGCCCCACTTTTTAAAAAACGAAGGAGCACACCCCTCAACAAGCTGACGGCTGCCATTGCTCGTGCTGGGAGGCTGTTGCAGAAACCTTTTCATGCCCTTCATGTTTGCCCTTCCGTGGACCTCATGGTTGTATCTTCTTTACAACACCAGGGCCGAATACTCGTCGGTGATGCTCCCCACCAACAGAAAAGAATCTCTCATTCCGCAAAAAACGGGGTTATTCAACTTTGTCGAACTTTGTTTAAGTTCATTCTACGTGTTTTTTAAACCACCAGTACTTCGCCCAGCTATCAATGGCGGGCCTGAAAACGGGCTGTGCGCCGTTTCGCACCGACCCGCCAGCGCAACAAGAAAAAAATGCTTTGGCTGGCGGCGCCAGTCTTTGAGGGCCGGTACCCCTAGCCTCCGGAAGTTGCGGGGCGTTAACGACAACGGCCCGCGGCCGATGTATGGGCCAAGTACTGGTGGTTTAAGAGAGAAAACTCCATGTGGGCACTCAACCTCTTTCAGGGTGTATCGCATTTTCCTCTGCTTAGTCCCCTACCTCTGTATCATGACTAAGTGCAAGCTTCATGATATCAGGTGCCCATGCTTCTCCTGGTGGCATCTGAATCTCCCGCAGCTCAACACCAAAAAGGCTCTTCGTCAACAGAGATAACCCTGACAGGCATCCCTGGAGAGAAAAATAAGCGGCAACAGTCTGAACAAAATACAGTCACTCACTCAAACCCACCCACAGAGGTCCACACACACACACACAAAGCCAAGCCAGAACATCAAAGAAACAGCTGCATAAGCATAAGGCTATATAGTATATAACGAAAAATACAGTCACTCACTCACTCACACCCACCCTTCAGGGAGTTGGGAAGATTAACGAAAAGCAGGATGGTGGGGGGAGGGGGAGGGGGAGGAGGGGGGGGAGGGGGGAGAAAAGAGCGAAGTCCACAGTCCTCTAACCTTGTCCCAGGTCCAGGACGCTGCTGAGTTAGTAGGCAGTGAATAATATCCTCGGGTAGAATGACAGCACAAATTTTGCACATGTCAGTGCTGTTAGGATCCAAGTATTTTCTTTTCAGGTTACGGTACAAGTTGCAACCAATAATTTACAGAACAGCACCGTAGGCTAACAACCACTGCAGACTCCGAACCCTCCTGATTTTGATCATAAGGTGCTTTGACCACGGGATGTCTATCATCGGGACATGGTCTATTAAGTATTCCTTCCCATCTCTTATTGATTACAGGGTTGGGATCATCGGTTTTGAGTCCAACTTCATAGGCCGAATTTGACCTTCTTTACTCCGAGACCGGAAGAGTCTCCTCGTGTGTTTTCTGGCTCCACATCCATTCTTTGGGGTCGAACTCGAGCTCTGCTATGCTGAGGTCTGGACTGAGAATTGCCCACGATTCCAGTGGGGACATACATACCTTTCTCAGCAGGAAGGAGTCAACGTCTTCTGCTTCTGAGTTCCGCTTGAGAATTTCTAGCTCTAGCGTGGTTTGGCTGGAGAGGAAAGAAGATGAACCTAGACCTGCAACCCCTCGACGACAGTCTCTTTTCCAAACAGTATGCCTTAAGTGGATTAGGTTCTGTGATCAACAACCATCCTCAGTCCCCTGGTTTCCACGTGAAATCTTCCCTCAGTAGTTCGATCCCACGGGCACGCCTGTGGGATCTTCTCCGTATGGTAGGGGTTCTCAGCTGAGTGATGACATCTTCTAAGCGGAGACGCATCTCCTGTTCTGCTGCCCAACCCTTTTGCTCATCCGACCACAGATGTGTTACTTTTCGTACTCCTTTTCAACCCAAGAGAGCCATATGTTGTTGTTTGAGGTCAATGTACACGACTTGCTGTTGTAACTAGTAATCCAAGGTTGGCAGAAAAGTGATTGCCTGAGTACGTTCTTCTTTGTTGTGTGGCTGGCCCAGTTTGTCAGGTAGTACGTCGCACCAGCCCGTCAAAACTGAAGCCCAATGAGGCACAGGTTCTGGGGGTGGTGGATTACGTATTTGCCGGCCAAAAATTGTCATTTTACATTTCTTAATTCCCCAATCCTTAGGGCATGAGCCAGAAGTTCCGATGCATGTCGGGAGGAATCTGGGTGGGTGCAAGTTGTCTTATGCTGTCAAAAGCCATCATTACCCAAGGGAGATGCCGTCTCAGTAACACTTTGATGATCCACTTGTTTTTTTTTCTCACTTCACTCGTTGGGCTATGGCTTCTTGCTGTGGATCGAGTCTGGGAAAAGTACTACATCACAGAGGATTAAATTGATCGAATGCTACATGACTCTGGCACACATTGACATCAAGATTGCAAAGCTTGTCAACAGCACCTCATAATCACATAACAAAACACCAAAACTACAGGACATGTGTAGGGGGAGAGACGATAACGGGTGCAAATGCAAGAGGGGGGGCCAACCCTTGACAATACAGCATAACATTCTCAATTCGAACTCTATCATATGCAAAAGGCGTTGATCATTCAGCTAACAGCAAGTACAAAGTCTGAGCTTTTCAGGAATTGAACTTTGACAGCTGTGTGATGACCCGTCCATACACAGACTGAAACACACAGCTGATTTCTGAGTTTTGCCCATAGACTGAATGCCCTGCTGAGTTTCCCGCTTGCTACTAAGTCTGTGTGTGCCCGCTTGCTGGACTGCATGTCGGTCTGAGTGCTGGATGGCTTGAGTGTGTGTGTGTGTGACCATGCCTGTCTGAGTGTTGGTTGGCTTGGGTGTGTGCGTGACCGTGCCTGTCTGAGTGCTGGTTGGCATGAGTATGTGTGCGGCCCGTCAGGGCACTTGCTCGTTCGTTGGGCCCTCAGGGCTGGTACTTACCTGTGGCCGTGACATTGAGGGGTTGCAGCGGGGAAAAACACTCAAGTAGCAGGTAGGCCGGTACCCCACCTGGAAGGGGTAGATGTGCAGGTACCGGAGGCCGAGCAGAAGAAGACAAAAGTGGCATTTTTAGAGGCCCAGTAGGCAGATATCAGTCCAACCAGTCTGGGTCTAGGGCCTGTACGGGCAATATCAGAGTCTGCAATGATGTTTCCCTCCGAAAGGGAGGAGGTACCGGTTGCTTGGGAGGCCGAGCGGCCTGGAAGTCACCGCCCAAGAGGCAAAGCAGGCCGCTATATCTTCTGGCCGGGCGGAGAGTCCGGCCTCTTTTTCAGTGTGCAAGTTTGGCGATACACTGGTGGAGCGCTGGCTGGAGCAGCGCTGAGGAAGGAGAAGGACACGAGGGAGGAAGGAGGAGGAAGAAGGAAGGAAGGGGGAGGAGCGCCAGGGGTACTTACCTGGCTATGGTGGCAGCCATCTTCATCACCTTGGTGGGCGCCGCAGCAGGGAGTCCCCAGCTGGGGAGAGCTACACCAAGAAGCTTCGGGGCAGGGTCAGGCATGGCGGCCTGAGCTAGAGCAGCCATAGCTGCTGCTTTGGGTTGTCCTTTGGGCATCTGAGCAGAGCCCAGTAGTCCGCCATAGCCTCGGCCTATGAGAGTGAAGAGTGGGAGAGGCGGCCATGGCTATGGTGGACCTTAAGTGATACCTGCAGCTGAAGAGGGACTCGGACATTGATTCTGGATCAGTCATTCAACATTGTATTATTATTTCTTGTATGAATAAGAGAAGGGGGAGATAAGGAGGAGGAGATTGTTGGGTGAAGAAGAAGAGCCTTGTCATTGTCTTTGCTGGTGTAGATCTTCTTCTTTTTCTTTCTTACTTCTTCTTCTTCTTCTAATCCTCTCTCTCTCTCCTCTGAAGTTCATTTCTTTCTGCAATTGGATGGCATTGTACTTTCCGGTGGATGTGTATCTCGAAATTGGCCAGGGTCATAACAGCTGAAAGAAAAGACAGATAGAGATGATGAGAAGATTCTTACCCGGGCATCAAGATTGTAAGTGCGTGCCTTCACCAGACCATTGTAGAAAGCCCGGTCCCAAGCATGGATGTCAGACTCGGGCTTTGTGCTTTGCTTACACTCCATCAGCAACTTCAGCTCCTGCTCAACAAAGAAGATCCGCACATACCAATGCAGCAAGAGATTTTGAGTCAGAAGCTGTAAAAGAGTGCAACCAAAACTGGAAGGAAAAAAGAGAGTGTCCTTCGGACTCCTTCCAGACATCCGTTACAATTCCAACAATACAGAAAACGTTAGGATGGCCCCTATGGATTTATGGACAACACACATAACTCGAGAAATCGTCCGAACTGAAAAAAACAAAAAGAAAAACGAGGGACGGGAAAACCGAGAAGGTTACTTCGATGTGGCCCCAAACAGTTTTTGCATCCGAAGGCATTCGAGCTCATGACCTTTTTGACTGAAATTACCATTCAGCCATCAGGCAGGTACCAGGTCGGCCAGAATGTAATCAAGAAAACGAATCTACATGGAACTCTGCCGGCAGGTACTAGCATCTTCACACGAATAGAAGGCCCGGTCCAGGGTTGCATCCCCGCCGACCGGTCGGGCCGACCGCCGACCGTATTGTACCGACCTATCAGGGCCGACCGGTCGGCGGTAGCCGACGGCTCAGAAACAGTCTCCCTCTGATTGTTTTTTTGTTCTGACTTCGGGTCTGTACTGCGCTTGCTGAGTACAGCCCAAATCCGCTGCGAAACTTTGGTTTCGGGGTGGGGGGGG